ACAATGTTTTTAAAAGGTTAAGCTGGCAACCAGCTGAACAGTGAACACCAGAGAGAACCACAGTTTGGGAGGGCTCCAAATTCCTTGGAAATATATGTGGAGCCACCGTGTCAAAGCAAAAGCCTTTTGACAAAGCTCACTGATGAGACTGAAACTGTGCACATCCCTCAAGCAACTTTTTCACAATAACATGCCAAAAATGGGGACTGCATAAGAAATCAGCCCAGTACCAGCTCCCAAGAATCTAGCACATGAAGATCAAGACAGTAGTGAGAGCTAGATTGGACCAGAGAAAAAAAAAGTAGTGGTGTATTATTTACTTGCAATATATTACTCAGTTACTAGATGTTTCACTATGCTGTGCACAGTTCCAGACAGCATGGGGTCCCTGATCCACAAACCCAGAAAAAACTGGAATTAATGTGTGGAAATCCCTTTCTTTATGCCTGTATTTCTATTTTTTCTTTCTTAAATGCCTCCTGTTTAAGAAGGACTATAGATTCAATGTATCACAAGTGGCACTTTATTGTCTGTATATTATAGCACCTACAAGACTTAGTCACAGACAAGGACCCCATTTGTGTTAGGAGCTGTACAAACACAGAATAGACACTTCCTGCCCTAGAGAGCTTAGGTTGCATCTACACAGCACCCTAAACTCAAAATAAGATACACAGTTTGCACTACGCAAATTGCATAACGTATTTCAAAAACAAATTCAAAATAGCTTATTTTGACATTTGGCATGTCTACACAGTGCCAAATGTCAAAATAATGTGCTATTTTGAGCCATCTCTTATCCCTCGTGCAACAAGGTTTACCGGGATGGTGAAATAGAATGCCTGGTATGTCAAAACAATATTTTGAAAGAATGAACGGTTTGTGTAGATGCAGGGTAGCTATTTTGGGATACCTCCCGTATCCCGAAATAGCTCCACAGTGTAGACATAACCCTTACAATCGAAAATGTACAGCAAGAGATCATAGGTGGGAGAATACAAGGAAACCATTAGGCAATATTGTCTAAATAGATAGTGTAAGCAGGCTGCCACCATAGGGCAGCTTCCCCACCTGCAGGTCCCCAACAATTAAGTATCACTCCTTGCAGGTCTAATACTGTGGTGCTTTAGCTCTCTTTCTGTGGAACACTTGAGTCCTACCTCTTAAAACTAGACTCATCAGTTTTAACATCAGAAGGGGCCATCTTGATCATTTAATCTGACTCTGCAGTCCTGATCCTCTAATACATCTTAGGCCACAGAACCTCACCCACCCACACTTGCAATGGGCTCATCACCTCTGACTGAGCTACTGAAGTTCTCAGAGAGTGATTTAGAGACCTCTTCTGGGGTATTAAACTCCAACACGAAAGGAAAACCAATGAGCTCAAAATCAGGATAGTCTTGGGATTTGTTGGCAGGGCCTTGTTCTTCTAAAGAGATCTTGTCTTGGTCCTTTTCTGATCAGTCTTCCTGAGCCAACTTGTCCCTTCCAGTGGGAGGCTTGTACAGGCAGCAAAATATCTCAGGATTTTGGCAGGAGCCAGGCTTCGTTCTCCAAGGATGAAGCAGAACTGTGCTCTCCTTCCTGTTCAGCCCTGGGCTGTACTAGGTCTCCTTTTAACTCCCCTCTCCATGCCTGATGTTTAAAGCAGATGTAGAAGAATTGGGCCAACAGGCTTTGCTTCATCCTCTGGTAGCCAGACTGAGCCTAGCTGCCTCAGTAGGCCCCCGTGTAGCCAGTGTAGAATCTATCTGTCTAATCACAGCAAGAAGGACTCAGGGTGGGGAAGGGCTAGAACACTCAGAGTGAACAATGTGATGGCAGCAAATGCCATGCCCCAGCCACAGGTTTTTTTTGTGCCTAGAAAAAAGGGAAGGCAAAGAGGGCGAGGGAGACAGAGAAGGGGAGGAAAGGGCAAGAGGGGCTGGTCACTAGCATGGAGTGAAGCTGTTTTGAAGAGATCGGAGTGGGGGGAAGGTTGGAGAAAACAGCTAAAGCAGCACAGGGCCTCTATTCACCATGCTATGGAAGCCAGATGATAAAATGATCCACACAATGAAATAAACAACAATCATCATTATGTTCTGTTGAGCTGGATGTGGACATTCCGTACTGGTTAATGTAGCTATCATTTGGAGTTTTGCAGGGATCAGTTTTGGGACTGGTTCTGTTCAATATCTTCATGAACAATTTAGATGATGGCACAGAGAGTCCGCTTATAAAGTGTGCAGATGATACTAAGCTGGGAGGGGTTACAAATGCTTGGATAGGGTCATAATTCAAAATGATCTGGACAAACTGGAGAAATGGTCTGAGGAAAATAGGATGAAGTTCAATAAGAACGAATGCAAAATACTCCACTTAGGAAGGAACAATGAGTTTCACACATACAAAATGGGAAGTGACTATCTAAGGCTACTCAACTTTGGAAACCCCCGGGGCCACAGGGATACTCACAGCACATGCCGAGGGCCGCAACTTAAATGTCGTTGCATATATATGCAAATGTATATGCAAATAAATGCAAATAGTTTCAAGAGTCACGGTGCCGTTGCAAGTTTGTTTTGTTTAATGCAGTGATAGTCTTTTGACAAAGAAGACACATTGGCTTGCCATTTATCTCTGCAAAAGTGAATTCCATCTCTCAAACAAGGTTGAAAACCTTGTGTTCATCCAACAAGCATCTCTTCTTTGTTGCCATTTTTAATGCTTCTTATTAAAAAGAAAATTGTATACCGGTGTTTAGCTTGAAGCTTCAAGTGGTGTGTTTCTTGGAGTGATTTTACTCAGAAAAAGTTTCCAAGCCAGAATGCTCCAACCTGCGGTGATGGGCGGGGCGGGGCGGGGCGGGG